TGCCTCTCGCTGCTGCTCCTGGGCTGCTGGGCAGAGCTGGGCAGCGGGCTGGAGTTCCCGGGCGCTGAGGGCCAGTGGACGCGCTTCCCCAAGTGGAATGCCTGCTGCGAGAGCGAGATGAGCTTCCAGCTCAAGACGCGCAGCGCCCGCGGCCTGGTCCTCTACTTCGACGACGAGGGCTTCTGCGACTTTCTGGAGCTGATCCTCACCCGTGGTGGCCGCCTGCAGCTCAGCTTCTCCATTTTCTGTGCCGAGCCCGCCACGCTACTGGCCGACACTCCGGTCAACGACGGCGCCTGGCACCACGTGCGCATCCGTCGCCAATTCCGAAACACCACGCTCTTCATCGACCAGGTGGAGGCCAAGTGGGTGGAAGTGAAGTCCAAGCGCAGGGACATGACGGTGTTCAGTGGCCTCTTCGTGGGTGGACTGCCCCCGGAACTGCGGGCCGCGGCACTCAAGCTCACATTGGCCTCGGTGAGGGAGCGAGAGCCCTTCAAAGGGTGGATTCGCGACGTGAGGGTCAATTCCTCCCAGGCCCTGCCAGTGGACAGCGGGGAGGTGAAGCTGGACGATGAACCGCCCAACAGCGGCGGTGGGAGCCCGTGCGAGGCTGGCGAGGAGGGCGAGGGCGGGGTGTGCCTCAATGGAGGCGTGTGCTCTGTGGTGGACGACCAGGCGGTGTGCGACTGCTCGAGGACCGGCTTCCGTGGCAAGGACTGCAGCCAAGGTAAGGCCCAATGGCGACCCCCAGAAGCTGTGCTCATGTCAGGGCGCGGGGAGGTAGGGTGAGGCAGGTGGGACCGGGCTGGTGCATGGGGCCTTCCTTCTGTAAACCACAAGTGACAGTTCGCTTTGAGGTGAAGGCCTGATTCTGGAGGCCACTCTGCCTTATCAAGTCCACAGCACTTTTCCTTCACACCCTGTTAGTGGTTGAGCAGTCTCCCTCTGCCAGGTTCATTTGCCCTCTGGGAGTCCTCTGGATCAACCCTACTTCCATCCAAGAGGCAGGTAGAATGAGCTCTGTTTTCATTCCTGGGTTGCTTTGGCTAGCTGGTCTCTTTACTCGTAGGACCATTGCCTACCTGAATGACCAACCAGTGTTTGTCCCCTCTACAGCCACTAAATCTATAATACACAAACTTTGCCCGTAAGATGCAGACATGCATCCAAAAGACTGAGAAATGGTGAAAACAAAGTGCAGGAGAGGTTCCCCAGGGCCATGGTTGAGAATGCCCATGTGGATATTGTGGTAAAGCACAAGAGAGACAGAGAGTTCACAGGGCAGTGCCCCCCTGCCTTTTCAGATAGAGCGTAAAGATCAGCTCTTGGTTGTGGAAAAAGAGGAGGGGATGTGAAGATCTGCTTCACTAGCAGGAGGAGGGTTTTTGGCAATAATATTGGTTTCCATGGTTATCTCCAAGTCCAACATTTGTCATATTTAAGTCAAATTTTGTGATTTTCGTGGTTTCCTGAAGTGTGAGACAGGTCAGCTAATGTTTAGAAATGTTAGAGATTAAATAACATATTTCTTGATTAACAAATGCCTTAGGAAGAGAATAGAGAAATTTAGATGTAGCTGGATTGGGAAGCTTCTGCAGGCTAATAAACAGAGGATGCATGTGAGCAATTGCAAGAGATTTTCTAAGGATATTCAGCTAATGACATTTATCTGAGTATCCGAAGCCAAGTTGTAATTTCTGTGGTTCTTGGGGCTTGAAACAGTATGGAATTAAACAACAAAATCATACCTAAGTTTTTTTTTTTCTTTTTCCACCCCTTTTCAAATAAAATTTAGTTTTCTGGCTGTTTCTTCCATGTTGTTACATGACAATGACCAAGGAAAATATTCAAGATACAGACAGTGAAACCTATGAACAGAGTGAGTGAGTGATGTGAAAGGATAAAACATGGATGTATCGGTGGCTAAGCCAGAGAGAGGATGTCGGGATTTAAAGTAGATGGCTAGCTTATGGGTCAAATCAAGGCAATCAACACATGGATGAATGGCATTTGTGGCTGAAATGGGGGGAAAGGTGAATTATTAAATCTGATTTTGAAAGCTATAGGGACAAAAGCTTTATGTGTGCTTGTTTTATTGTGTAATGTCTTTGTTTTTCTTTTTTCTTTTTCTTTTTTTGCTGACTTTGCTAAGGGGAACTAGCCTTTGTAAATCTTATTGAACTTGGCAGTTTTCTCACTTGACTTTAAGGGAAATGAAGACTTGATAAAATTTGCAATTGTTTAAACAGCAAAGGGAGTTAGTTAGAAATAAAAACAGCTTGTCTTTAGGAGTGTTCTGTAGTCCGGAGGAGATGGGTGAGGGTCAGTAAAGGGTTATTTTATTGTGCTCTGTCTTCATGTAGGTTTTTGTTTTAGGTATATTTTGGCGTAAGTAATTATAGATGACTGTGTATTCAATGGTCCATACTGCACTTTAGCTTTGCCAGTAAATTTCCATGGATTTAAGATCAGACTTTGGAGTTATGTTTTACAAAAATAAAACAGAACATTTTTTCTTCCGCCAAATCTAACTTAATTATAAATCATGAATAAGATAGCTTTGTTATGATGATTTTAGTAGTATTATTTGAAGTTTGCACACCTTTGCACTGATTAATAAAAACAAAAATGAATATTATTTTATGGAAAAATATTGCTCTAAGTATCCTAATGCCACTTTAAATGATAAAGAAGGCCATTTAATGAAATATAACTTTCTTTCTTAAGTTAGGAAACAAATATGACACAATGACAGCTTGTATTGTGTGGGAGGGTGTTTTAAATGAAATTTTTTTATTTTTCTATGCATTTTAATGTAGGGATCCAGGGATCATGCATAATCAGGAACAGTTAAGAGTAGGAAAAGCATGGAAAAAAAAAAGTAATGTTAAAGAGAAGCAGAATTAGATGTATTTGAAATGCATTTTATTTTGGAAAATGATAGTTCTTTCTATAAGATGAATAATTTGGAATTACCCACATGCACACTGGAACAATATAGTACCTGATACATAAGCAACCCAGGAGAGCAAATCCATTAGGATTGTTCTGGAGCATTGATTCGTTTGAAAATTTGATCTGAAAATAGAGTACAAAGATCACCACTAGTCTTAGAAGGAAAACAAAAGACTGGATTTGTTTGATTTTCACAGAAATGCAAGATGGAGTGATAAAGGCATAGTCTGTCTTCCCAGAAGGATTGACTCCATTTTGCTCATTTTCCCTGTTTCATGTGTGTCAAGTGACTATTGAATAATTAATTGACAGTGGATGCCTCTCCTAACACCAATCATGTATTGATGGCTAGGGATAGATTATTTCTATTCAATTGAAGTATAAACAACGCCCTGCCTCTAGCCAGTGTTTACACTGATTTTGCCACATTTTTTAAAAACTAACTTATAAAAACAAATATGCATTCATTAAAGAGAATTTAGAAAAAAACAGACCATCAAATATTAAAAACAAAATTTGCATTACCTCTGTCTCAAGTACAATTCCTTTTTAAACTTAGTAACAATGTGTATTATTATTTTAGCTGCTTTCCAATTTCAAATACAATAAGAACTGCTAAAAAGACAATAAGAATAGGATAAGGATGCTCTGTGTTTCTTCTCACCTTGACTTACAGAGCCTTGAAACAACTTGTGCACCCATGGGTTTCCCGATTGTTTTTATTGAATGAGTTCAGTTTCATTCTTGCTCTGTTTATTTGGGTCTAGCAAATTTTACTTATTTATCTATATATGCACTGATGGAGAGAAAACATGGGCATATGTGTCATAACCAGGTCTGTGTCAGAGTCTGGATGAGAGCATAAGCATTCTTATTCTCAAGCCGACATCATCATATCTGCTGAATAAGATTTTCAGTTCCTTTGACATCTTTTTCAGGCTCAGGTGTTATTCAAGAGAAAAACAATACATATAAAAATGGTTGTAGGAACAGAACCAATTTATATATCACTTATGTTCTTTGACCCTCAGAATCAGCCTCAGAACTCAACTGTCCAAAAATGTCATCTTTCCTGAGTGATGGATGCTTATGGGATACAGAGCTTTTTCAGTGAATCATACTCATCTAAGTGCTCCTACACCATTATTATTTAATAAGTTTCTACTTAAGAGTACTAGTAGTTTCCTAGTAGTTTGAAAGAATTAGTGAATTCCATGGCCATTCCTCTTAAAAATAAGAAAAAAAAGGATGACCAATAAGAAATTAAGCTATGTTTCTTATGATCTCTAGCTACAAGTCCCATGTGCTTTAGGGTCACAGATATTTAAATTTCATACTAGATTGTGAGTATCACTTTCTCTATTTAAATGGTCATAAGCACACATGATTGCTTAATATTACATGGCAGTGTGCTAAATGTCATTTAATAAAGTCCTTTTTATATGATTGTGACCAGATCCATCAACCATAGTCACTCATGCATTCATTTATTCATTTCTTTATTCAACACATATTGATTGAGTGTTTTGTATGAGCCAGAGTACTAGGTTCGGGTAATAGTGAGTAAATTAAGAAATAGTTCCTAACTTTATAGACTTAAGATTCCATTGAGAAAGAACTTTTTTTTTTTAAAGAGAGAGAGAGAAGGAGAGAGAATTTTTTTAATGTTTATATTTTA